TTGTTATTAAAAATTCATATAAATAATTTTCTTAATTTTATTTTTTTACTAAATATGTTTGATAAATCACATATCAAACGTATTATTGAGAATAGTATTTATATACAAAGAATTTACATACATAATTTTCGCTAATTAAAGTATGATAATAGAAATATCATAAAATTTATTTTGAAAGGATGTAAACTATAATTAGATAAATGTAAGCTTAAGAAAAATATATCTTTCATTACGAAGTGTATTATTGAAATGTATTGGTTTAGTTAAGACTACTTTGTATTTTATAAATGTAACTTATTTTGTTTAATATAGTATTACATTTGTTTCAGTAAAAAGTACATATAGGTTTCAACTTTATAAAAAGTAAAGAAATATATTGACAATATTTATTAATTGTGTGAAGAAAATTTATTCGTATTATACTTTTATAAATATGAATCAAATCTTTAATTATGGAACTATGTTATATTATACTAATTAATCTGTACCTTTAAAATTTAACGAAGGTATGAAATTAGTGGTTTATAAAAAGGTATTATCTGTATTTGAAAGAAAATTTTAATCAAAGAAGTAGTAGTTATATGATGAGAATATACTATATGTATGTATGTTATGTATATACAACTGTGCGCGCGTATATAGTATGTACGGTATATGGATAGTATGCACCCGTTTTTGCATGAATACATAACATTCATATATAACTCAATATATAACTCAATATATGCATGCTTGCAAACACGTACAAAACTTTCTAAGGATTTGTAAAGGCAAGTCGGTCATGGTTACGATCACGGTTGCGATCAGGATTACGATCACAGTCACGGTTACAGTCACGCTCCTGACTTCTCTTTGGCGGTCAACGAACTCTCTCTTCTCTTTTTCTTTATTCATTCTTCCTTTCTCTCCATCAGTTACAGTTTTCCTAACGATGCTACTAGATACATCTAGGCTATCATAAGACAAATTCTTCTGCAACAAATAAACTATTTGCTTAAAACTCTTTAACTTTTTAATTCTCTACTAATTTGGTAAGCACCCTATTTACACTGTATCTACGGACCCTACCTACACATATATATTTCATAACATATGTTTAAAGTAATCATAATAATATTTATTATTATTGTTACTCAAACCATACTTCTACTGAACACTGTATTCGTGTACCCTTTCTGTCTTGTGTATCGATTTTACATAAATTCAATAGCATATAATTGTTGATCTAGTTTTAATGAAATAAGGTAATTGATATATTTAATACTTACTATGTAATACACATTTTCTATTTAAATTTTTATTTATAAGTATTTATTAGTCTAAATAATGTTTGCTATATCAACTTTGTAATTGCATTATTTTAAATTATAAAACCTAGTTATTACAAGGATGTAAATGAAAATAAACAACTTCTATATTTTCTTAAATAGTAAAATATATGCATTAAACATCAAAATTTGGTCATGAGTAGAAGAATGAAAGAAATTTAGAACTGTTCTGCATCCGCGATTTACGAGGAAAATCAAATCAGTGTAAACCTCTCGTTAGATACGCTCCAAAGTTTTAGACTTCCTGGGCGAAATAAGATTAAATTTTAAGTATTCGATTGATTTATATAAATGTTTAATAATTAAACACTTTTGATCAGTTATTACAAATATTATAGTTTCTCTTTCAATGTTAGAACATATCGGAGAATAAATTGATAATATGCAAATTGTGCAAATACTATTTGTTGCCACAGTTAAAATTGTTTGGCTGTTTTATTTATAATCATGCTGTATCACAAAGAATCAAATACTGTCTTGTAAAAATATTATAAAATATTTTCTTCCTTGACAAACTTTCTCAGAAGCAATTTTCTTGTCCAATTGTTTACCGTTATTTAATTAAGAAGCAACATCTGGTTATATGTGTGTATATATTTGTACATACATAGAGTGTTACATAAATTTATCGTAGTACTTATTAATTTATTAATTCATGTTACTAAATTATGAAGAATCAATGGCAGTTGAATGCCCTTTTGTAGGAGAGTGAATAAAAACACAACGTCAGGACGGAAGATTTCGTTTACGTGGCAAAATATTTTTTAAAAGTCATTTTCTCGGAACTTGAATTTTCTGAAAGAATGTATTTACTTCATTGACATAGTTCACACTAAAAGGACAATATCAAGTAAATTATGTACATAAATATAATGAAATCAGAAAGCAAAATTAGAAAAGATGGAAAATATATTTTTTGTTTATATTTCGAAGCAAACAATACGCGAAACATTTTGAATTAATAGCGATTCAGAGCAAAGGAAGTACCGTTTACTATTTTAAGTTGATCAAGTTTTAAATAGCCTTTAGAAAATGCAATTATCACAAAAGTCTATATCGTCATATAAAGAGGACGAGATAACTGTATACCGTTTAACGGTATATTGTCTAAGGTGTTAAGATTAAATTTCTAATTACATAAATGTGTATGCTTTAATGGATTCATAAAAATGCGTGCATATCAATTTTTCATAAAATGTTAAAAATCATGGTACATTATATTTGTTTAGAAATTACGTGCTTTAAAATACGGTACATTATAAATCCTAATGAATAACAATATAAGTTCTATAAAAATGTTATTAAATAGGTTTAATCTAACTTTTACCAGAAACATGTAAAACTAACTCTAGCAGAGTTCAAAATCATTTTTAATTGCGGTAAATATCTAGAATAAGGAACTCCTCACTCATTGTGATGACCTTGAAATATGTTGTCAAGGTCAACATTTTGAACTTTTTCTTATATATCTAATTGTAATTTTATTGACCATTATTAAGTCTAGAATATTGGTAAATTGGTGAGCAGGAGCATGGGGTTTGTTTACATGACAAAAACTTTATACTAGCTCGAACCAATCGTTGGTTATTTTATGCTAGTTTTGCCGACCACCCCACGACGGCCGAATATTAATTTGCGATAACCTATAACCCATTAATTTTTCTCTTTTATTGATATTAAAAATGATTATAACCAATGAATTAGGTTCAGGTTTGGTTATATAGGAATGCGGTCGCCGTTAGACGACCGCCTACACCAGAATGAAGTGTACTCGTAACCTAAGTTTAACTAAAGCTTTTTGCGAATATCTGGGAAACTAAGGCCGAGCGGCGGTTATATATATATGTATATTGCAGGAAAAAATCTCTTAGAATAATGACCCTGACAACATATTTCAGGGTCATGAAAATTGGCGAGGAGTCCTTTATTCTAAATAATTACTCTTGTAACAATGATTGTTTGAATAGTATTTAAGTATTGTGTAATTTTTTGAATGTGTAATAGTTTAATGTATAATTACACAAAGAAAACAATAATAAAGAAATTATTTCTGGTTTTATAACTAAATTTATTCAACTATAGTTTTATTAACAAAAATACTGTATTTAACAGAATAATTTTGCTAAATTATCACATTATTATGTGCATAACAAATGTGTTAAATAAAAATCGTTTTCATATGTTATATCTCCATAAAATAAAGTAATTTTTATTGAAAAAGGAATAGCAAGTAATGGATAAAATTTGAGGAAACTAAAAAGACATAATGAAGTGTCATTGAAAAAGCAGCAGTCGCAAAAGTAGAGTCGTCGATTTTGTGGTTCACGATCCTCTGGAAAGTCAGCAGTTCGATGTATGTTGTTCCCCACCTTTCCCTCTTTCTATATCCTCTATCGTTCACGACCCCTTTATTAAAACAGCGCACGCGCAATATTCTGGCAGAATTTCACAGGGCCGTATGAATTTAAAAATACGTACTAGATTTGTTATATTCATTGTGTAAATAATTTGTATTATTAAGTAATAGTTAGTAACATTATACTATATTTTCTATAATTTGATGTTAATATATCACACAACTCTTGTGACCGTACAATTAAGAGCAATAATTACAACACAAAGAAACAAAAGATTTCTATGGTACCTCCAATATTATTATGTTCTATACACAGTCCTGATTCTATGGTGGAATCAGATGTTGCGCATGCGTCGAAAGTCCTGAGGGATCCTTAACACAGACTGAGGAGAATAAGCGAGTCAAGTCAGTTGCTGAGTATCTTTGTTGTGACGAATATAATTCGTCGTTCGTGACTCGTACTTTTCTCGTGTACTTTTCTCTATCTGTTTTCCGGTGTTTTCCTACAACAAATACATATACTTGTCTTCCCTTTGCTTGGTAAGTATACAGATCTACTTGGCAACAAAAGTATAACACTAAGAATTTCCATTATATTATCTTCAACATGCATCTGTACTGTATCTGTATTCATTGACATTACGAATTTAAACTACAGGTACATGAAAATACTATTAATTTGTTTATCTCTCACCAGTACTGGATTAACGAAATTCTATTTAATAATAGCTATAAGTTATACCTTAATTATATTATTTAATTATTTTTTACATAAAGTCCGTTTGAAGTTTTTAAATGTCTCTGTCTAAACTGAACTAACATCTACAAATTTAATATCAGTTCTTTTTATTGATTTGACATAATTGTTTAATTTTTTATACTTCAGCTTATAATTTAAATCTTTATTTTTCCATATTTTAAT